ATGCAGGGCTTAATTGCAGATAGTAATGACGGGGCTGGCAGTGGAACCCAGCACCACGTCTGTTTTCCAGCCCGTGAGCGCAGGAGCCGAGAGCTGCTCAAACCCCAGTCTGCAAGGTGCTTCCCACCCCAACAGCACATCCCGGTGTCAGCCTGGCCCCACGCAGAGCCTGCATCCACTTGCAGCCCCTTGAACCCCCCCATCCACGCTGGAAAGTTGCTTTTTTTTTGGGGGGGAGGGCAGGAAGCTGGCCCCTCTCGTCACACCAGTGCCCTGCCAGAGCCGCAGTGGGAGCCGGGGCTCGCGCCTTTGATGTGGGCTGGACGGGATGTGGATGTGTCTGCGCTCGCCAGCCACGCTAGCCTAAGCACAGAAAGAAAAACCAACGGCAGAAGGACTGGCAATTATTTCTGTAGAGCAGCTTGAGCATTCCTGAGCGTTCCGTAATGTACGATAAGCTGTTACGGTAAAACGAGCCTTAAAAACCTTCCATATGAACAGCAAAAGCAGTACGAAGCGTGACCCCAACAACTGGTAGTACTTCCACGGGGTAAATACAGGTGGACTGACAGCACGTCACTTTTAAATCTCATTTATTTATTTTTGTGTACATTTTCCTTAATTTGACTGACATACCATTGCTATAAAGATGCCCTGCTCTTTGAATATTTAATCCAAGACCACTAGTTCAAGTGTGGTTATGAAAAGTCACGGCAAACATATGACTGGAAAGAGGTGGTTGGTTTTGACTTCCAGGCAGTTGTTTGAAGCATTTCATAGATGCACACAATATTCAGCAGAACACACGCACACACAGTGCTGAGTTTAACACACACACACACGCGCGCGCGCGCGCACACACACGCACACATCTGGAAAACGGTTACAGTGGTTGAAGTTTCAAAAAGGTGTACTGTCCCCTTCTCTCAGCAGCAGTGAAAAACCTTTGGATATCCTGAGAAATAAAATTGAAGTGTAATAAAGAAGATTAACTTATTCCATCAGCAAGGTTTGGGTTGGTTTGTTTTTTTTTTCCAAGTTAAATATTTTCTCCCAATCTGATTTTTTTTTTTTTTTTAATGAAGAGGGTGGAGGGAAGGGCTCTGGGGCAGTCGGGCTTAAAGAATACCAGTTCAATTGTTCCACCAATATCCTTAATCCAGTACAACACGGATCCTAAAAGCATCCCATTAAAACAACAACATTAAATAAAAGCCCATCTAACGTTACGCACATGGTCCTACTGTCAGTCTCCTACTACTTATCATCTTTAGAATATGAGGAGCGGCCTTGAGATGAATGAAGACAACACAGGTTAAGAGAAGTGTTTCAGAGGGAGCGGACACGGAGCCGTACAGGTGGGCAGCCAGGCAACCACACAAGTACTCCGGAGCGCAGGGAGGACCCTGCGAACTTCCCGCTATCTGGCTGGTGAAATCTCACCTGGCTGCAGAGAAGAATAGGAGCTCGGAGCGACGGTTCATCGTGGCACGGGGCGGCACTGCCTCCTGACCACCGGCTACAAACCCCGGGCAGAGCCCGACAGGACCTTAAACCGCACTGGCAAGGATCTGGGTGTCATCTCACAAGGATGACGGCACCTCGTTTCTTTTAAATATACCAACAGTACACGCTCACAAGAACTGGCCAAGGCAGGGGGAGTCTTTCTCTGGTTCAACCCACCCGCCCCCAAAGCCAGGATTTGGGGTCTTGCGTTAGGATGTGGGCAGCTGTGATTCTCACGAGAACAGAGTTTCCTCAACAAAGCTCAAAATCGAAAACCGCTCGCATTGCATTGTCCTGCCTTTCCGGTTCCTCCCAGCGGTGTGAACACCGGTGCTTTTGTTGATGAGGCGCAGAGCCTGCGCTCCTGCTCGCTGCCCTGTGCCACGCACTCCCTCGCTGCGAGAGGGGTTGTGTGAGGTGACGGGCTGCTAAGTAGCAACGAGCATTGCAGAGGAAACGGGCCAGCAAAGACTTAGACAACAAAAACAAACATGAAGCAATTAAAAGAAGGATGGGAGATGTGGTCTGATGTACTTTTGCCAAGAAATAAATATTTTACATTGCCTTTTTTAAAAACACTCGCATTGTGTTTTTTTGAATCTCCAAAATGGTAGACTTGCTCACTCCACCCACCCAAGCACAACATGTGCGTGCACACACACACACACACACTCATACACGCGCTCTAATGCACATGCGTTTCCAGCTTCGTAGAGCTACTGGATTTACTTTGAGACAAGTTTCTTGTGCATTTTGACAATTTACTTTGAGACAAGTTATTTGCAAGAAGGCAAAGTTCATGCATGGCTTTGACAGCTCCACTTTCTCATAAATGGTTTTTGAAAAGCAGAAAGCAAATGAGGGCCAAAGCTCCATTTAAAGTTCACCTCAGATGCCTGAAAAGCATTTATACCCACATCCTTCTGAGGTCCCTGCTTTATGAACTTCTAATGAATTCCACATTCTGCTACCCAACATTTCTTATACATAGGGGGAAGAAAAAACAAACCAGAAAACCAATGCAAGCTGTTTGAAAACAGATGCACCACAGCATTCTTTATCAGGAAGGCCGGGGAGACTTCTGACGCAGTAGAGGAGCAAGGCACCTTTGCAAAGAGGAGAAAGGTTGCAAAAAGAACAAAAAGCTGATGGTTTTGAGCCCCCGGTCCTGCTTGTCTCACACAGGTCACGCGATGGGATTTCACCGCAACATCTCTTCAGAGCAAGAAGGAGCCGTTCATTAGTTGCTGCATCATTTCTGTAGGACTCGTGTCCCCCATACCCGGAGTAGACATTTGGCCAGAAGGTGCCTGGGTGGCCCTCAGCACCGCTTCGAAGCAACCCTGCCAACCCTGAGTCTCACCAGCTCAAGGGCTAAAGGGAAACTCAATGAAAATGATACAGAAAAGCCTGGCTTGAGACCTGGACAAACCCGAGTTCATCCGAAACCAGATTTTATTTTTCAGGTGGAAAAATCATTGTTTTCTCAGAATTCCGGTGCGCTTTTGGTTAATGATGTTGTGACACAGAGAATTTCTACCAGTTAAACTGAACCCTGATGCTAGTCACACCCCTCTCAAAGGAACAATTACATCCCAACTGGTGCATTTTTTTTTCCTATTAAAAACAAGAGTGAGTAGATTTATTCAGAAGCCTCCAAGATGTTTGAAGAAAAATTGAAAAATGCAGGTTTTCAAAAAGATTCCTTATCCCCATCCTTAATTTTAGAGCAAACCAGGTCACTAAAAGAAAATCTAACTTGCTATAAATATAATTTAAAATAATAATTAGTCATCTACTGCCATTCGCCATCCCAGCTGTTAGGAGATACTACAGTGATTCCATACGGCTGGAGGGCAGACTGGGAGATAACTTCAGCACATCTTGGATAGTACCAGAAATGGATAAATAATAAATAATAAGAACATGAGAAGGAATAATCAGCCTTCCACGTGTAATGAGAAGCAGAGACTTTCACAGTTATAAAACGGTGTTACTATAAAAAAAAAAAAAATCCTGAAAGTAAAGTAAAATAAGGACTCGCATTACAGCAGGTTGGAAAGCCTTCTCTTTTCTAACACAGTCCAAACACAGGCGCTTTGCCTGTGCCCTCTTCAATACCAGCAGACCACCGGGAAGTGGTTGCTTTTCCATTGTGCTCATATATTTATTTTTTTTTTCCCTAGCTGAAAATATGTAGAAATATCCTTGTTACAAATTTACCACCATTTCAAGAAAAAGCAGATTTCACACCTTGAGACAGAAACTCTAGAAATTTCATGGATTTTGATGCTAAACATGGACTTTTGCCAATAAAACTGTAATTCCTTAAATCGAAGATTTTGGACATTTTTAGACAGTTGGGTGTTGGTTGTTTGTTTGGGTTTTTTTTTTAATGAGAAATGACAAGTTTTACTCCAACACATTTCCAGTTTGCAATGAACTACATTTAGCAGCTTCACCCCAATGTATTGCTATTAAAAAAATAAATGCAAAATTCCAACTATTTTGTATGTTGTGACTATTTCCAGCAGCCCCACTGGCACGGTGACAGCTGTCACCAAGCACAAGCCGCTCGATTCACAATTACGGAGGAAACAAAACAGTGGCAGAGCTCTGGAAATTCACTTCATACCTAGATTACATAGGAAATGTTTGGAGCCAAATCCTGGTTTTAGTGATACCATATTTTGAACCAGGCTTTTTTTTTTTTTTTTTTTTTTTTTTTTTTTTTTTTTTTTTTTTTTTGTCTGTAGAGCCCCAATCTGCCAGAAGCCCATCAAATGGCACGGTCCGTGCTGTGAGAGATTTATGCGAGACTCATTGACTAAATCCGGGCTGAACGTGGACGGAGAGCTCTGCAGCTGCACCTGTACATGTGGACATTTAATCCTGACTTAACAGCTACGATAGAGACTGTAATTTATCTTTAAACACACCTTTTTGGCCCTTATGAGGCACTTAATCTACATCTCTTCACTCTGGCTGCATAAATCAAGGACACCTGGCCCTTGCTGACTTTTCACAGTATCTGTCCTCAAAATCAACACATAGTCGAGCTGAGAAATACCGAAGGTGTTCAGATATTGTTTCTGGATGCCCTGAGATGGCTGGATGTTCTTTACTAGAGGGAAAAACCCGAGACGTGGCAGGTCCCGATACTTCCATCACACAACCCCTGGGGAAACTGTATCTACCGACGTTTTTGGAGGCCATGGGCATGCTTGCTGCCAGACTGCTCCTTCCAGTCATCAGACACTGGCCACCTTTACCGTAGCACTTACTCCATCCACCTTCCGGCACAGTTTGGTGCGTGCCCCTGCGTCACAGGTCATGGTGTTTTGGAAAGACCATGGTCTGATCTCTTATTTTCTCAGAAAGAATAATTATCTGGGGCAAAACCAGGCTGAATTAGGATAAAATAATAATTATCTGGGGTAAAACCAGGCTGAATTAGGATAAAAGAGTAATTATTTGGGGTAAAATCAGGCTGAATCAGGATAAAAGAATAATTATCTGGGGTAAAACCAGGCTGAATTAGGATAAAAGAATAATTATCTGGGGCAAAACCAGGCTGAATTAGGATAAAACCTGAGCTGGCCTGAATTATTCCTGTAAGAGAAACCAAACAGAAACTCTCCTGATCAGTTCAGTAATACTTGGGGTGTGTCTACTCTTTATTTAAAAATTACACTGTTCTGAGTTTCCTGGATTTAGCTAGGTCCAAAAGCAAAAGTAACATCAAAATACCCTGAAATAAACTTCTAGGAAGGGTTTTCAGGTCTGGCTAAAACCACACAGCTTTGGAAATTGCCAAAAGATGTCTGATCTTTGCAGATTTCTCTCTCTATTTCCAGAGCGTTTAAGATGCTTCCAAGCTTTTCCCAGCCTATCCTCGTGACACCTCGCAGGCGCTGGACTTTTGCCCCATCATTTAGAGACAATCAAGAGCCTTTCGAGGAAGGAAACGCCAGCCCGTCCTGCAGCCTGGCTGCCGGCAAGGGCGAGTCGCCTTGGAGCAAGGCTGATGCAACTCCAGAGCAATCCAGAAAGGGATTTTGAATACAACGGCAGCGAAGTATGAAAGGAGAAGCTCTCGCGTTGGCTGGATACCTGCAGGATAACAAGCCTCTGCCTGCAGTTTCCCACCAGACAGGCAGCTCCGTCCTCTCCCAACGCGCTCTGTGCAGAGCTGGCTGGAGGCCCCTTTCCCTTGCCTTCACCCTGACCAACCGCCTAGAAAAAAGGCTGCTAGTAAAATCCCAGACAGTAAAATACAAAACGTAAAGGTGACTGAGACATAAGGTGTCGATGGAGGCGAAGAGCTTTCTAGGCACCCGGGAGTGCACTAAAGCAGGCCGTGTAATAAACGTCATGCAGCCAAAATTGTTCCCGGTGGAACGGCACTACCGGCTGCACAGGCCCCCGAAGAATTAATTTATCCCCATGGCCTGTAAATTAGATACTTCCACCATTAGGCTAGTTAGAGACCACCTTAAAGTGTTTGTTTCCCTTCCTTTTTCTCAGCTACGGAGGCCTCTCCCATGCTCTCCCCATCTGAATCTCACTGATGAGCTCGGCCCGGGAAGCAGCAACTCACGAGGCCGCGCAGCAGGCAACGAGCATCAGCCCGCTTGCAGTTTTTCCCTGTGGGTGTCTTTGGGGTTTTAGATTTTGTTTCTCTTGCTGGAAGCGGGGATGCGGTGGCAATGTGGGACTTGTCAGCAAAACCATGACCAACAAATCTGGGCCTGAAGGAGAACATGGCAAGAGAAAGGGGAGACAGGCTGCTCGAGCCAGGCTATGCATCCCTGTCTTGCTGCTCCAGCCTTCCCCATCAACTCCAGACCTTCCCTGGCAGAGTGGATTGACAACAGCTGCCTGTCAGAGGACTCATTTTGTCCCTTTGCCATTAAAACCACCCTTACGGTTTACTACGCTCTCTTTAGAGTCCATTTATACAGCCCGTGACCCTTTGAGTCCAGACCACTGGCACCACCACCTCCTACCTGTGTATATACCCAGCTGCAAACACATAAAACCTGAGGTTCAACTGAGCTTTTTCTGAGCCTCTTTATTAACAAAATCAACGGCTTTTATGGTGTGGGGTTACGTGAAGGAGCAGCATCCTTTCAGCCTGCAGCACAGCTGCCTACTGCACAGAAAGCATCTCCTCCAGCCACGTCCAGGAGAGCGAATCCTGCTGCAGTGCAGAGCTCTGGTCTGCCAGAGCGCACGTCAAATTTCATATTATCCATCTGCTCCAGTAAAGGCTGAGCTGAAATATTAATTAGGAGATCTGATCCCTTCTCACCAGAAACAATCTGGATTTTATAGCTCAGCCAGAGGCCAGCAAAGCAGACAAAGCTCTGTGATACATCCTTTGCTGCTGGTTAACGGCTTTCAAGGAAACAACCAACTTGGGGGGAGGACACAGACTGTAAAACATGTGGACATCTGGTCTGTTTTGTCCATCCTTCATCTCCCCCACGCTCAACCCCCACCTCCGAAGTGCATGTTCAGAACAGAGAGAGACGACTCCTCTAACATAAACAGCTATAATATGGCAATAAAGATTAATGAGTAAAACTTGCCATTTTATGTATAATCCGTGGGGATTTACAATCATTAATCTTTATTAGTGTGTAATAACTGTTTAGACATTAAGGACAGATTCTCAGCTGGACAAAACTGGCCTTCTTCCAGCCAAGCCAATGGAGCGATGCCAGTTTACACCCTGCATGACCCTAGCTCTAAATGAGACCCATCCCCATCTGTAGGAATCGTATCACTAGCAGTATTTCCCCAACAGCAGGGGCAGACCAGTGAAGGCAACTATTTGTCTTTTTCTGTATCCGAAAAAGAGAGCTGCATGTGTCCAGGAAGCTCAACAATAGACATGTCAATAAACATGAGGAAATTCAATGAAAAAGCAACAGCAACAAAAGGAACCCCAAGGAGCAGGGAAGTGGATGATTTTTGAGGCAAGACTATAAGATCTGGTTTGGCAGGAGCGTAACTAAGAGGGATGTAGCAATCTTTGGCATGTGGAAGAGTGAAAGCACCAAGACGGGCTCCCAGAGTTCCTCTAAGAGGAACAAGATGGAAGAGAGAGGAAAAAAAAAAAAAAAAAAAAAGCTTTTTTCCGAGAGAGGCGTTTGGGTTTTGTTTTTAATAAAAAAGAGGGCTATTAAACAAGGGAGCTGGTGGGAACCTTGTCTGAACTACATCGGACCAGCCACTAAAGCAATGCTGTGTTGACTGAGCAGGATTTCCCCTTCCAAAATGTCTAGGAAAGAAGGGAAGTGTTCGGGTTCTCTGCCCTCAGCCCCAGGCACTGCTCCGCTGCACGGGCAAAGGCCTGGCAGCCCCTTCCCACCAAGACAAGGTGCAGGTAGCCCTGGCCCACCAGGCACAGGGTCACAGTCCTCCACACCCGCTGAAGAACGGGGAGCTCAGCTGCCTATCGTTTGTCAGAGCTTTTGCTGAGTAGTGACCCACCAGCTGCCTCCTCCATCACACAGGGGAGGGCAGCTGCCTCCAGAAATGGTGTTCCCACCTCTTGAACGAGGTAGAAATGCCTCCTCCCTCACCAGTAAACCCAACAAAAGTCAGGAAAAATGCAGAAATACAGTACATGGATACCTGTGTGAAGTTTTGTACACCTGGAAAAAACTCTAGAAAAAAAATGGGCATTTCACCCACTGCAGCAGCACCAACCTGACATTCAAAAACAGGGACCAGCAAATGCCCTCCCACTCCTCTTTCAGGTTTAAGGGACCAGGGGGCTCTTGGGGACCCAGAAAAGAGCTTTCCTGTCAGTGACACTTCTCAAGAGCTCTAGCGATGGCAAGGCCTCAAGTGTCCAGGAGGTTGCAGGAACAACAAGAGCTGTATGGTGGAGGAAAAAAAAGAGAATGAACATCATGCCCCGGTGGTCCCCCGCTGCCTGCCACAGGACTGGGCTGTGCATCTTTCATGCAGCCCGATAACCACAGGGGCCCTCCCTGCCTTGCAAATGGTTAATTGTGCTGGAATTAATTCCCACAGCTGGTCCAGGTCACAGCTCAGTGCTGAGCTCTGAGCAGTTTTTCTCTCCTCTCTGCTCCCTGGTGTGGTTTTGGTTTGTTTCAGGTTTATGGCACGAGACCTGCTTCTTCTGCAGTTTAAAAATCCCAGTTCAGGACAACTTAACACACTGCCCACAGTCCCGTGCTGTCTGAAAACAAAAAGCTTTTTGAAGAAGCTTTAAGCCTCAACACACTGGCTGTTCAGGGGGCATGGTTGTTGGGAAAGGCTTCATGCCCCCAAAACCATGCCTGTCCTAGGGAACCCTGGGTTCAAGTTAGAGCCAAGCAAAGTTCTGAGCACAGACCAAAAGCTTTTCATCTTCACAGAGATTACAATCAAATGAAATAGAAAAGAGTCTGATTTTCATCTTGGAGCCCAGCATGTTTTCAGAGCTTTTAAGCACACAGGAGTCCCTGGCCCTCCTCCCTGCACTGAGGCTACCAGCTCAGGCTTCTCTCTAAGAAAAGCCTGGGTCAGGCCAAGCTTTGTGTCCACACGTGCCACAAGGGGTGTAGAGACAGACAGACAGCTTCTGCACTTCTCTCCCGCCATAAGTACCTTCCTCAGTGGTGATCACTCGGATCACTCTTTTCATTCACACCGGTCATACGGCTTCACACTTACTCTGGGCTGACGCAAATGACTTTTAAAGGAACAAAGTCACGGAGAATCAGGAGGGAAGTGAAGCGATTTCTTGCGTGTCCTATTGTAATGTCATTAAAACAAAGGGATCAGACGGCCCAAGCACTGCAAGAGCAAAAAGCATAAAAGAAAGCACTCAGCATGTAGTGTCGAGGCATGCAGGAATCATTTTAGAGGGTTACTAGCTGCAGACAACACTGACATTAATTTTCTATTGGAAAACACTGGTGACATTAATATCTGCTATTAATACTGAACTTTGACAGTATCTCATAAATTCAACCTGTCAATTACAATGGCACTGAAATAAAGGTGCTCTGAGGTCAAGGAGATGCGGTGTCCAAATGAGACTTATATTCCAGGAGAAAAGTGGCAAAAACAGTCTTTAACAAAAGCATCAGATCCATATGTAGGAAAACCAAGTGGTTTTAAATGTCATGTTTTTCAAAGCAAGAATTGATGCTGGAACCAACTCTATAAACTGGCTGGCTGGACTTTTAGCTGCAGCTGAGGACAATCAATCAAAACAGCTCTGCGACTCTGAGAAAGTGAGAGAGAGAAAACACACACACGCGCGCGCACACACACACACACACCCCGTGGAATATGAGAGGGCAGATTATGAGCCATGCGAGGCCTCTTAAAATTACACTGCGAAGTAAAACATCCTTGTGTTTCACCCGCAACAAAATGTAACCTGAAAGGTTCCCCTTGATACAAAGCGGAATATGGAGCTTATCGTCACCGAGGGCCAGGCAGGCTCATGGAACACAGCCGAGGAAGGGGAACCTCTGCCCCAAAGTCTGCACGACCCGTGAGCCCTTCGCAGCAAGGAAACCCCTGCACCCCGATTCCTGTGAGCCCTCCTCAAGCCACCCTGCTCTGCAGCTGAGGGGCACGAGGATCGATAAATCCCCATGAGCAATGCTCCTCTACCTCCTTCGGTGCTGGCCCCAGGGCAGAGCTGCGCTATTTTAGGGTTCGCAGCCACCTCTGTGGGCAGTGCCAGTGGCAGCCCAGGCACTGGTGGTGTCTACGGGCACCTCTTCAAAGTGGTCGGCGTGTGGCTAGCAGGAGAGGTCCCACCATTTGGGAACCCCTGCTCTCAATACTGCCCTCCCCACCAGCCCTTCCGAGGGATCGCGTCCCCTACAGCTGCTCACGCGAGGCCAGAAGCACAGCCCGCGCCAACAGAGACGAGCCACTCAACTGGGAGAGAAAGGGTTGGATCCCAGGCTGAGCCCCATCCCGCGCAGCTTCACTACGGCACAGCAAGGCACGCTGCCAGCCGGGATTGGACTCGGAGAGTCTGTGCCGAAGCGATGGACGAGGAAGGGGAGGTGTGGAGAAGCCGCTCGCAGAGTCACTGCCCTGCGCAGGGCCGGGGGAAGGAGCCACGGGCAAAGGCAGAGGACCTCACAGCTGGGCGAGGCAGCTATGCGGGTCTGGCTCAGTCAAACCAGCGTCAATCTGGAGCCAGTGGCCTTGCTCCAGACTCAGCAACACCTTGCCGTGCACGGTCCCCCCCTTTCTCTAGACAGCAGCCGTCTTACCTAAAAGCAGCGCGATCTGTCGTCTTCCCCTCCCAGCCCGGCACTCCCCGTGCTCCTGCCCTTAGCTCGCAGCTTTTCTCTGAGGACCTGGCCAACAGCAACGAGCTCCTGGTAGGGGTGGGCTGTGGTTTCCCTGCGTGGTTTCCCAGGCTGCAGCTCTCGCGGGGGGACACCTGCAGCCCATGCCGGAGCCCAGCGCTCCTGGCTGCCTTCAGCATCCCGACCAGAGCTGGACACGGCCCAAACCGCAGGCCGGCACGGGCTCCAGGGGAGCTCGCTCGCACTCCCGAAGTCTGTGGGCAAGCACAGAGGGATGGCTGCCGATGCAGTGCCGACAGCCCTGGAAACTCGCACTGAGATAGCCCCTTCTTCACAGATGTCGTGCTATGCATATCGTCACCCTTTCCTATCTGGAGAAGGAGAGAGGAACTCCCCTTTAGGCCCAAAGCAGCTCATCCCCAGCCCAAGGCAGCCCCAGGCACTGCAACGCTGCTGGGCTCCCCGGCAGGTGCGGACTGAGCACTGCACCCTCCTCCTGATCTTTGTGCAACTTATCCAACAATCTACTTCCCTCTGGGGCTTTCGTCCCAGGCACTTATCCCAGCAATATCTTCCCACTCCAGACCCATCTGACAGAGCAGAGTAAGCTGGTGGGACGTGGGGCAGGGGCTGGCAGTGCAGCGCAGGCGGCGGCTGGCCGGGATGCGCAGCGCGGTGTCCGGAGAAGAGGCGACCTCGCGGGATGCTGGGGCCTCCCTCCCTTACAGTGATGCTGCCTCGCGTGCTGCAAAAGCAGCTCGAGTAGCTGAGCTGAGATCTTTGTTTATAAATTCTTTTAACGATGCACATTAAATATTTTCCACAACACAGACACTTCTTCTCTTCTTTCTCTTTACCTTTGACACCTTTACCCCAGCAAAGCCCTACAACTATTGCTTGCTGTGGCTTCATTTAGCATCATCATCATCATCACCACGCACTCATCCTCATATAAAACAGAAATCTATTCCATCAAGCACTTAACATAAATATTAAAATAATGGAAGGGACAAAATATAAATCTACATACAACTTCATGACTACCATAGCACCTATTACCATGACAAAGCAAATTCTGTTCAGGGGGAAGGGAAGGGGGATAAGGAGAAAGTTAGGAAGGGGGACTTTGACTGTCATTAAATATGTAAATCACTCTTTTAAATTTTTTTTTGTTGTTTTGCTTCTGTTTTAAGGTTACCAACCTTATTAAAATTCATTTCACTAACCAGCTCGTTCTATGTCACTATGGATACCAAAAAACCCTTTTAAAAACTTCGGTGAGGCGGGGGTTTCCCAGAATAAAAACAAAACAAAACAAAACACGGCGACTTTCTGTTGGTGCTTTCATGACAAGTCCTGCCACGCGCCCCTCCCCTGCACCCACCAGTCCACAGAAGGGCAATTCATTTACAAGTCCAGTTCTCAGTCTCCCAGGATGAGTTTGACAAAAGAGGCGACGTCTGTCTCTTTGGATTCGTGCAGGGTGAAGAAAGGATGTTGCTGGGAAAGAAAAGAGGAAAAAAAAAATAGAAAAGCTTATTATTCATTACGCTGAGGACCAAACTTACAATCTTTTCAGACAGCCTTCAAGACAGTGAAAAAGATTTTGTCGCTAGCATCATAATATTGGGCCATCCATGTTTTGCAGCTGAGGCAAGTCAGTGAGCCCAAGGGGCCACTTCATGAAGGCTGCAGATCTGTGCTGCCCCCTTGGATTCCCTCTAAACCTTGCCCTGGCTGGGATGGCTGAGCTGGGCTGCTCTCAAACCAAGGGAAAATTTAAAAAACACCACCTCCATCTCCAGCACGTCGTGCCCTCCGGCCCAGGCTGGCTCGCAGCTCTGCGGTGCCCCGGGAGGAGACGTGCTCCTCCTGAGATGGTGGTTACCCACCGCACCGCGCACCACCTCCAAGGGGAGCAAGGAAAACCTTGCAGGAAGGCTGACTGCAGCGGGTTTTCCCTCAGCTTCCTGCTCTATCTGTGTATTTACCCTCTGGTGACTTTTGAGTCTCATTTCTTCCCTGCAATTGCTCATACTCGCAGCAGGAGATGGCTACTTTACCCCTAACCACTGCAAAGAGGAAAGCCATCCCGGCTGGAAAGCCATCCGCAGCTGTATGTTTAACTACTTAATCGTGACCAACATGGGAAGACATCCTGCCAGAAAATCTTGCCTACATTTCAGCACAAACGGAAAAATATGTGTAAGGAGAAAAAAAAAAACAAAACACAACTAAATGCCCTCCCGCCCCGATAGCAACAGCAAAGCCCCTCTCCACTAGCACCAGTGATTCAATTTGCTACCGGGGGCTTCAACGCATCGGCTGAGATCAGCCAACTTCCAACTGAAATCACCAAAACACTGTTTGACACCCACTGTCTCGGCAAGTAATTGTGTTTATTTGTATGGAGGGTGTCAGTGAGAACCAGAAGGCAGCCGGGGCCCTGCGGGGCTCACAGGTGACCTCCGCTCTGTGGGAAATGCTGTGGTGCTTCCCATACGCAGGATGGGGGAGCTCGCTTTGATTCCTGACCCTCTTTTCAAGACAGATTTTTGAAAACAATTTGGGGTTTCCAGGGTTTCTCAAAGCTGGCCCTCACCTCGGTCCCTGAGCGTTGGTTATTTCAATGATCCTTTATGACAGTGGCCAAGGGGAGGGAGAAGAAGAGCAAAGAAAAGAGACTTTCCAAGGTGGGCTTGAGCAGCAAGTTACCCGGGGAATAAAAAGAGGCAGCTCTGAGCAGCAGGGAAGCGACCCAAAGACGCACCAGTAAGGAAAAGGAAGCACAATTATGTGGGAAACAGAGCTGAAATGGGTTGAGGCAAGGATCCAGACATAATTTAAGGTCTCCCTGGGTCAGACAGTCACGGGAATCGAAGTGTCCTGAATGACTCTTGGAGAGAAGGCCCAAACGGCCTGCTGTGTTATTATCCCACTGCTTTCACATCCCAGCTAAGTCGCACCCAAAGCAGAGCTACCGCAGCCTGGAAGCACCCGCAAGCGTGACATGGGTGGCAGCGGTGACCTTCAGCCTCATCTCGCAGTGAACCCAACCCCTTTGCAACGTCTGAGTCTGGTTATAGCAAAAAAAAAACCCGTGCCAGGTGGGATGTGCTCCATGCAATGTGCAGACCACCGGTCCTGCAGTAGTTTCACGCTCCACTTCACCTGGGGAAGAGGGTTTTAAAATGAAATTAAGCATCCGTATCAGTTTTCCTGATGCTCAAGATAGCAGAGAGTCATATTTTCCATGAGAAACCTCAATTCCACAGGAAAGCATGGGAGCAGTCTTGGTCTAAATGACAAGTCCAATCCAGTACCGCAACTTAATGCCATAAGAGAGAGAGGAGGGAGAAAAAAAACCCAACAAAACAGCAACCCTCAACCACAGGACCTCACAACATTCATGTCAGCCATAAAATACCACAGCATTGAGATACTCTGGAGAGGTGATCCAAGAACCTAATTCAATAGAAATGCACTCGCTTGCCAATGGGTATTAATGCTGCAACAGACGGAGCTGCTCCGGTGAACCTTTTTGATAAAAGGCCATTTGGCAAACTTCAGAAATTCGCTTAAAATATATATGTGTTTATTCAATAATAATAATAAAAAAAAAGTAAAAAAAAAAAAAAAAAAAGCCATAAACCTCAGGCCTCCCTTTGTTTGAAACCAGTATTTGGGCAAACTGTGTGTAAATCCGATCTATATATAGTCTAATTCCATTACAGGGCCCAGCAAGAAATGCCACAGGAATTATTCATGGCTTACAATTCACGTTCAAAAGGTACATGGATTTCCAGCATGTCCAGCAGCTAGAGAGCACCCTAAACCCCAGCACCCTCACACCCCAGAGGTCCCAACACCTCCGAGCAGACAGCGTGAGGTAGCAGTGAGGCTGACCCCTTGCAACGGCTTAACACGTGTTCCTACAAGTTGTGGGCTGGGAGACACCAACGCCTGAGGAAATTCTGCAGCTGTTCCCACCCTTAACCCAGAAAATCTTGTCAGTGGCACCGGACAGGGGTGGGCGTGTAGGGACAGGCAAGCGTTTGGGTCAGGATCTTCAGAAATAACTAAGTTAGGCACCTTTAGCAAAATCAGGTGAGAGTAAAGAAGGGACTGGATGCCTTATGGGTGCTTATGCTGTTAGGAGCAGCAGGATCAATACCAGAAAGTCAGGAGAGACAGAGGCCGTGAAGCTGTGGAACCCTAGCAGAAAAACCTCACCACAGACCCCGCTCTTGCCAGCTCCAGCCCAGAGCTCTGGCTGAGTACACACCCGTGTCTGCACCGCGGGGAGTTCATCAGCAGTTAAGTGCATCTGACCTCAAAGCCCTGCACTGCCTTGCATTTCCCCTGTCGTAAGCCTTTATCAGCATTTTCTTCCTTAGTTACTCCTCTGTTCTAGACATGCTCACAGCAAACAGTCTCTAAGCAGCAGCTGAAATTCAATAACCGGAATTATTAGTCACAGGCTCATCTCTGTCCCTAACATCCAGGAACTACTCTGCCCAAAAGCCTCCTCTCCAAGGCACCGTGACAGTAAAGCCTGGCAGGCCACTCAGCTCCTGCAGCCCACGCGGAGCATCTGTGGCGCATCCCTTTCACTTAGGTGTCTGAAGGCATCACACCAACCCAAGGAGAGGATTTTATCCTTGCTGATTCTTTGCAGCCTCATTCTTGTCCCTCAGCAAATCTGTTAACTGCTTTTACATATTTTTCTCCCTTGATCTGACTGGAGTAGCACCTGAATGGCATTTCAAAGAGCGTCTCTGATTTGTGGTCACCCTCCCAAGACACTGAAGTGCCACGATTCTCCTATTTGTAACAAAAATAGAGATGCTAAGTATCCCAAATCACCAGTCACAATGGGAAACCCTGTCCTCAGCATCTCATCGTAATCCATCTCAGCTCTGAACCAATACACTGCTCGATGCAGGCACACTCACCATAAGCTCTGGGTATGTTGGCCGTTCTTTGGAATTCTTCTTCAAGCTTTAATGGAAAAAAAAAAAAAAAAGAGGGAAAAAAAATTAAAGTTACACTCAGTATGCAAGGCCATAAAATTATACCATGACAAAAGCAAAGTTTCAAGTCCTGGTGGAGTAAGTTTAACTACTCATCCGTACATTGAGCAAACAGCTTAGGCCTTGAGGACACCTACAGCCAACACAGCTTGCACACAGCTCCCCGCAGGGTGCACAGTGCTGGGTACACGCCAGTGCAGTGAGCAAAAGCTCAAACAAGAGATCCGCAGACCCCGTATCTACCAGTCAAGACACTGCCTGTTCCTGGGGGCCGGGTACATTTGGGGGTTTGTGTACAATCCCGTAGGCCAGCAACAAAGAGAATGGATACAGCCTCCAACCTCTGATTGGGAGCGGTGACCGAGTGGCTCCAAAGCACGTGTACAACTATTTGTTTACCACCATGCTGTTATCAGCAGGGACGGTTACATGGGACATCCTTTTTTTTTTTTTTTTTTTTTTTTTTTTTTTTTTTTTTTTTTTTTTTTTTTTTTTTTCTCCTCTCCTACAACAGATGGCTCTGGGGGGTTGTAGCTAGAAGTTATTTTGGTTTCCCTCCAGCAGAAAATAGCTTTTAAAAGACAGGACGTAATCTCTACTCACTTCCTGACAGTGTATTTAGGGGAAAGACACTTGGAGCAACTTGAAAAGATCTTCACACACGTACACGTCGGTGGCGGGGAAAAGGTGTCACACTGAGCAAAACAAAAGTGAGAACCTCGGCAATGATAAGTCGCTCCTCTGCTGGGATTTGCCGGAGCCCAGAGGAAGCAGAGGACACACACTGAATAGATATTTCCTGCTTGCTGTGTGTAGCAGGCTCATGTTTAGTGTCATGTTGTGAATGAACAGAGGAACCTAGTAACGATACGTGCCAATGCTGCCGAACTGAAGGTATGGGATGTGTCACATCCTCCGAGCTCAAAAGCAGCCCAAGCCAAGATGCTAAGGTGAATTTGAAGATTAGGTGTGTCCAGAAGCAGAATTTGCCTATAATCCTCTTAATTTAGACCCTCTACAAACAACCACCTTGTTCTCAGGTTACTAAATACCAGGAAATCTGGTGACAAGTTACTGAAATCAATGTAAATCTTCAGGAATGAAGAGCCGTATTTGGATGTGATCCTGACTCAGACATCCCAGGAACTTTTCCGCAGTGACCACAGGTAGTCAGACTATTGCCAGCCCAGGCAGCAGATGGTGCGATTCTCTCTGCAACCTCTTGAGTTTACGACAGGCCTAAGACAGGCCAATCTCAATGCACCGGGTTGATGCGACCCGGTTCGGTGGCGGAAGAAATTCTCAGAGACTCCAGCAATACAAAATTAGTGCGATCTGGAGCCAAAGCACGCTTTTCCAAGTCCATGCCACTCCGCTGGCGCTGAGGGATCTGCAGTGATCCTGGAGGATGGGATTTGCAAAGGGAGAACCACTATGTGCTCCCCAAAGCATGAGCTTTCAAGGCACGAGTGCTGCTCTCGGGGTCATTCTCCTCACTGCAACCATCACGAACGGCTGTGGGGATCTTACTCCTACATCAGCCCCCAGCTAGAGCTGCAAGACACCATGCTTGCAAAAGCAAAATATTCCGTGGGGAACAACAGCCTGCCTGGCACAAACAGACAACTTTGCAATAACAAGTAGCGAGCCAGCAGCACGGGAGAAAGGCAGCTGGTCCAAAATCTCAGCATGGGCCTTGCAAAAACAGCGGGCATTTTGTGAGAGGGTTTTTTTTTTCCAAGCCAGCTCCCACCTCTGACAGACACAGAGCAGTGTGGGCACGGGCAGGTATTCCCCAACACAGGTTGGTAGAGAGGCATGCGGCTGAAATCACAGGGACCTCAAAAAACATCTTTGAACAAGACTCTGAAGAATCTGAGTGTCGGTACTTAAAGTCCCTGGGCAGAAGCGGTTGACAATCCCCTTCCTGGGTCACAGCAGAGCCGGCCGGGCTCCCGGCCCTGACGCTGGCAGCTCGGGAACAGTCTCACATTTCTGTATTTGTCGATCTGCCGTCCTTTCTTGGCTACCACGCAAACCCACCATCCACCTGCCAACTTGGCAAGCCGCGGATGGCACTGCAGCGCCTGGAAAATAAAAACGCCTCCCAGGCGGTTTCCAGGGAAGCTGGAGGGAGAAGCAGTCAGGAGCCGCAGGGCCGCCGCCAGCTCTCTTTGAACCGTACGATGAGGGCAGCTGTGAGTCTCCTCGGGTGCTGGGAGAGCCTGTGCTTTCATGCAGCTCTCGCAACCTCCAGACAGCGCGCATCTGCTCCAACCCTTTTCCTACGCCGCAGCCAAACTCTCCCGCTGCTTCCAGCGCCGAGTCCCACGGAAAGCAGCACGGCAGCCGGAGGGCCCCAGGAACGGGGCAAACTCTGCACCTCCCCTGCCCTCAGAGCTGTGTCCTCCCGGGAGCGGGAGGCAGGAGGACGCAGCCATCCTGCACCCTGCTCCCCGTCCCTGCCCCACGCCAGACCCACACCTGCCCGTGCTGCTGGCCCGGCCACAGACACCCCGTGCTGTCGATGTGAGGGCAATCGGATTGAGAAAGTCTAAATCCCGTCCTCCTGCGTGTCCCCTCAAAGCAACCAAGCCCACTCCTCGCCTCCTCAAGGCGGGGAGAAGCCCCACAACCTCTGGCAAAGGGTGCGCGGTGCCTGCACAGCACCAGGCCCCGGCCCAGCCCTCACAGACCAGTGGAGCCGTGACGGCCCACTCCTTTACCCACGGGGATGTTTTGTTCAAAAATCTGCATTCTACCCCAGAGAGACGCCTGTGGGGACAGGGACGCAGGAGGCCACTGGCATTTGCCCTCCTCAGCCTCCCCGCGGCATGGCGGAGGCAAGCACGGCTGGGATGAGCACGACCAGCGCGAGCAGGGCCGAGGGGGTATTTTACCATTGCGAGGTAAAATCAACGAACTCTGCCGAGAACTTCTCCGCCGGGAGCTGCGGCGACGGCTCCTCCACCACCTGCTTGAGCTGCTGGAAGGGCGTCCCCCAGGAGTCGTAGGGAAAGCGCAGGATGGCCAGCTCGATCTGGGGAGACAGAGCCCACGCCTCAGGCATCAGGGGCAGACAGGCCCCAGCTCGCCCTCCTGCCCCACAGATTTCAGATCAGGGGCAGACACCCCACAGCTCGCCCTCCTGCCCCACAGATTTTGGATCAGGGGCAGACACCCCACAGCTCGCCCTCCAGCCCCACAGATTTCGGATCAGGGGCAGACACCCCACAGCTCGCCCTCCAGCCCCACAGATTTCGGATCAGGGGCAGACACCCCACAGCTCGCCCTCCTGCCCCACAGATTTCGGATCAGGGGCAGACACCCCACAGCTCGCCCTCCAGCCCCCCAGATTTCGGATCAGGGGCAGACACCCCACAGCTCGCCCTCCTGCCCCACAGATGTTGGATTCCTGTGTGCCCACCCAGGGGGGTGGTTGGTTTTTTTTTTTAGGCCCCGCACAAATACGCGGCATTTCATTTCCTCAACCCCACCTGGTCACAACATTTTGCTTGACCTCCCCCAGCAAAAGGGAAAGGCCTGAGGAGACCCAAGAAGTCTCCATATTCAGTCCTCCGTTACGCTCGTGTTCGATGTCGCTTGGGAAATGTTAGAAGTTAAAAAAAACAACCCCACGTCGCAAAGGGGAACTGTGCTATAAAACGACTCCACCAGCAGATGGATTCCCCCGAAACGCTGCGTGGGAGATGCCATCCATCCCTCCTCTTCCGAGGGGGACTTTGCTTATTGCCAAGTGCTGAGAGTATTTTTCTGTGCTTGAAATCCAACCTGCTCCAAGGCGACAGACGTGCGGTGCCGGACACCCTCGCCTTAGCCCATGCTGCCATCTCCCGGCAGCCCACGGCCACGGCAGCGGGGACGTCCCCAGCGGGGTGGCACCCCACCAACGCATGCAAAGACAGCAAGATGTTGACAAAGCAGCTCCATCCTCCTTCCCCGCAACCCTGCGCCATGCTCCCTGCTACCCCCGGAGCTGTATTCCCGTTCCCACCCCACCACCTTTCCAGGGAACCCACGAGCAACATGCAACGCTCCTGGAATCGCTGCCAGCCCCCAGGTCACCGTACCATTGTGATCCCCAGGCTCCAGATATCAGATTTGACGCTGTACCCCTTCTGGTTTAGCTCCGGGTTAATTCTTTCAGGCTGTGAACAGAGATAAAGATGACTGAGGAAGAGGGACGGCCCCAGTGCAGTGCCCACACCCAGAGCTCACCAACCTCAGGTTGGTCTCTCGCAGTGGCGGGCCAGGACCATTTAGCCCATGGCACCAGTTTGGTTGTCACAGGCCAGATCTGGTCCCACACCCTGGCCAGTAAGGGCAGGCAATGAAATGGGTCACCAGGAGCTGATGGTACCTGCGCCAGGGGCTGGGGCAGTGGAGCTGACCCAGCACATCTGGCACGTAGGATGTGACAAGTCTCAATTCTCAAAGGACCATTTTCACCCTGTGCAAGTGCTCCACGGGCAGCAAATCCTGAACAGCAGCTCCCAGGAGGAGCGTGACGGACCCAATCCCTGGGGACTGTTTTTCCTCCCAGACAGAAAGTACTATTCTCCCCATAGGGCAGAACAAGAAAAATGCAACACGGAGTAACTAGAGAGCCTTCCCCAAGGTCACAGGGAGGTGATAAGGCAGCAGGAAGCTGTGCCCATGAGATCTGATCTGACCTGCGAGATCCATCTCCCCTCCCTGCCCCTTTACAAGTAACCTCAGGGATACGCCTTCCAAAACGAGTCCCCAGCACACATGCCAGAGGCTGATCCTTCCCCCTTTAGGATGACCCGGTGCCCAGGCTCATGTTCCTCTGGCCGTCCCGCAGCAGCTTTCACACGCAGTTTCTCCGCGGCTCAACTTACAGCCATGTAGGGTTTGCATCCTGCATCCATGGTTTTAGCAACCGAGTCAACGAGGTAACCGCTAATTCCAAAATCGCACATTTTCACCTGCCCCTGCGTATTGATCAACACGTTAGAGGGCTTTACATCTGCAAGAAGGGAACACATAGCACAGTCACTGTCACGCGTGGGTGGCGGTGCCAAGCCAAAAAAAAAAAAAAAAAAAGGGCACCAAAGGTGCCTGTGCAAAGCCCTGCGCTTTGTGCCCGCCAGAAAACCCGGCTGGCTGCGGCTACTGCAAGCTCGAGTGACTGCCTCAGGGGCCTGTCATATGTCCTGCGAGTGTCCCTCCACCTGCAGACCCCTCTCTCTGGTTTGGGGGAGTGGGAGGTAACCCTGCACGTAACCGCCGTAGCCCACTGCGCAGGGGACGGCCACGGACATCAGAGCGCTCTCAGGGGGACAGCTCAGCAGGGCTGGGGGCATCTCCAGAGGATGTTTGCAAATGGCTGGAGCTCTGGCAAGTCCTCAGCTGCATCTGGTCTCATGCCAGCAAAAGGAAAAATAAAAAAAAAACCTGGGGAAAGGATGAGGGGTGGGCAGGAAAGGGTGAAGAGGAGCGGGGGCTGCAGGGGAAGGAGGAAGCAGTAAACTGAGACAAGGATCAAGATTTCAGAAACGGCCTCTAATTTTAAGGATACCAAGCTTGAAGGCAATGTGAACAGCAGCAGGCGTGTGGGTGCTCCACACCTTATGGAAATGAGGCCGGTGTCTCATCTATTTATTACTGCCAGATTTATCCGCTTCCCATCAACGGCCTTATAATCCTTAGTGCATTCACACTTGCATCATGCTCACGAAGGCAGTTATAATCACCATCAGAAAGGGAAATTAAGGCACAGAAAGATGCTAGTATGTGAGACCCACGAGAGCAGGGAAGTGCTTTCCTGCACAGCAGGCAATCGCTCCGTGCGAGGCTAATCTCAGATGAAATCTCAACACCGCGCTCTTAGCCCGGGCCACCCTGTTTTCTCTTGTCCCAGCACTGATCCTCAAAAGGGAGCAATCCTGTCCCTGTTGCCACCCAGATATAAGAGGTTTCTTCTGTCAGAAGTTCCTCTGTCTACATGTGATAAACTATTAAATAGAAGAGCTGAAACACCATCCGAAGGAGGCCAGAAGCTGCTTTTGAGTCCTGCTTATTAAAACCGGGTGGTTTACAGTTCGTTAACATCTGCTCTCTAATCAGCATTTTTCAATCAAAAGCTTCATGTATCTGAGATCCTCACCCATCTGTAACTAGGCTGAAATAAGACAATTTTCAGTGGCAATCAAACACGTAAACAGGAATCCAGAAGCCAAGCAGCATTTTCCACCTACTGTAAATGATACAGAAGGCAGAAACTCAACCCCCAGCCACAGGCAGAATGTACAAAATGTGACTGCCTGCTCGAGCTGAACTCTGTTTGCTTCAGATGCTCCTTTCCCTGGCACTCACACGCTCCAGAGAGGGCTTTTTCCTCCTCACAACAAATTGAAAATGACCCGTTAAAAATAAAGGCGTCAAGCAGCAACCCTGCAAATTTGTTTCTTTCTCAGTGCGTTCATGGCATCTTTGAGATGCTCTAGCGGGGAAAAATGTCAGCAGAGTTTAAGGAGGGTATTTATGACTTCCCTTGAGGCTACCGTACCTATTAAGCTATTCTGCCCCACCAGTGCTCAGGCAAGCCCACAGAAAGGGGATGAGGATGGTTAGATCCCTGCATGAGGCATCACGCTGGCATGGAGATGCCTCTCACTGCACATCAGCGTGGAGCCATCGAGCTCGGGGCGAAGCCTTTGCAAAGCCTGATCCAAAGCCCACCAAGGTCAGACAGAAAAGTCTGGTTTAATTTTGCGGAGGTGTTGAAGCAGACGATGGATTCAGACTGTGCACGAAGGGAAATGCAACCCAGGGGGAAAGAGCCCTTTTTTTCCTGCCAGCACAACCAGGCTGGAGCTCACTACTCCTCCAGCTTGGGGAAACGCTGGGACCAACGTGCAGCTTTTAAAGAGCAAACCAGCAGACATTTCCTCCGACTAGGTTTTGCTAGTCACGAGACGCTGGGGAGTACTTTTGCTGTCAAAAGTCCATTTTATCTGGGAGATTTTGGGAGCCCTGTGCCCAGCCACAAGGCCAGGCTGAGAGCGTGCGGGGCAGACACCAGCACGGTCACGGCTGCGTGCCTGGCACTTACCTCTGTGGATCACGGAGAGCTTACTGTGTAGATGTTCTAGTGCTTTTACGATCTGAAACAACAAATCTAGAGTGAATCACAGCTGGCAGCACCATGCTGAGGAGGAAATGTTATCTGGCTTCACCCACCCCATCCTCACCAGACCTCCTTAGAGCGAAGAAACTACATCTCCCACCAGTCCTGCACCCTCACAGCAGCCTAAGGTGACCCCCCAGGGATCTCCCGGGGGCTCTGGGACCCTCATGAGAAGGCAAAGGAGCTGCAGGACCCTCCCCACATCTAACATTCTGCCATGTCTAAATGTTATGTATATTTTGGGTTATTCGTGGCTTATGAGTAACATCGCCTCAGACCAGATACTGGAGCCTGTTAGCAATGTCCACAGGGGCTGGCCCACAGACCATGCTCTTCCTGGTGCAAATACAGCAGGGAGCTGGCTTAGAAGACTGGTTTAGAAGAGAAACACCCTTTCCCTTCCCTCCTCACCCTGCTAATACTCACAGAGACAGCTATTTTCCCTAAGATGTCCTCAGGAATCGTCAGGCCTTTGTCAATGACGTGTTTGTAGAATTTGTCCAGTGAGGTATCCATCAGCTCCATGCAAATCCATACATCTCCCTGGAGGGTAAAGAAAGCAAATATCTGCCTACTGGAATGAAGCATCCTTTCCTTTCACAAAGGTCTTTGGCACTTGCCCTTTGCTGGCCTGTTTGTCTCTTCCTTGTCTTCTAAAACACAGTCAGAAAAACTGAACTGGGCTTTCTTTTTCCCTCCTCTCCAGCTGGAATTAAGTGCTGTCCACCTTCACTACCATTTAGGGTGTATCTTCTGCTGTCTTTTCCCAAAGCAGAGTCATGGTGATTTAGAAGCCCAGAAAGTTATCAGGACTGAGGCTCCTACATGTTCAGGTCACTGCAAACGCTCAGCCAGGAAAAGTTCAGCTCTGCAAAGCTATGCTTAAAACTCTTCAATAAATCTTGCTTTTCAGAGCTTTCCACATTTTTCCTCCATGTGGCTTTCTCATTGCAAGTCAGGACAACATTAACACTAGCAGAGCAGGCTGTGAGGTGGTGTCCTCGGTGCCCGGCCGTCCCCATCACTCAAACTCCCTACCAAGCCCCAGCACTTCGGCACAGAGGCCTCGCACATTCCTGGCACTGGGGCTTGGCTGCCCTTGGCTCCCCCTCATGTGGGACTGTGTCTCTCCTCGCTCGCCAAGAAGTAACTGCGTGTAACAGATCCTTAGGCTAGGATTAAGCAAATCCATACTGTACCAAGACTCCACGTCTACATGGGAGATTAAAGCCCTGGCACTTGGAGGGAGCCTAGGCATGGGAATTCAGAGCCTGGGAGAGGATCCAGTCTCCCAGGGGCAGCACGGCTGATCTCCAGGATGCCATACCTCTCGGAAAAGTGCCCCGTAAAAGGTGACAGTGAAGGGGCAATCTACCGTCCTCATGGAGATATCCAGATCCATCAATAACCTCTTCTGCTCCTGGCTGTTCACTGTGGCTCGGATCCGCTGGAACACAAAGCATTTTAGCGTTGGCTGTCAGCACCTCCATCCCACAGCCATACCTGTGCTGGCCACAGTGCCTTGACATCACACCTTTACCCTTTTATCTCACCTCTTTGTGTCACCCTTTTACTACACCTCTTCGTGACAGGCACATCCCAAGCACAGCGCCCGCGGTAGGAGCATCCCAGTGCAACAGAGGTGGCTGAAGGGGATTGATCTCACCTCAGCCCAAACTGCAGGGGATTGAGCTCTTCCCTGCTAACGCCAGCGGTTTTGCAACAGCCAAAACCCACTGAGGCTTGGGAGAGGAGAAAGGAGCAGGCAATCAAATTCTAGGCTGGTGGAAACCTATGACTTTTGGAGCTGCGGTGGACATCAATTTACATTAGCAGACTTTGGTCACAAGAGAGGGCCCCAGCCCCGCGGCCAGAGCCCGCGCACTCCCCGTGGCTTTGGAAAAGGGACATCTCCCAGCGTCCCAGGGAAGAGATGTCAGTTATGTAAAATACCTGAAGACCCTCAGCTGGGAAGCACCACAAAGGGACATGACACAGTCTAACACAGGTCACACATATTCCAGGCTCCTTGGCCAAAGCCACTCGAGGTCAGGAATGTGACAGAATTAAACTGTTGGGCACCGTAGATCCAAGTGATGGCCTGAATGTTCCCACCGTGGTCTTCTGCAGTTTGGTGAGCACCCAAGAAAACAAGATGACCAAACAGAGCACAGAGGCCCTGAGACACATCCCAGCATCCACAGCAAAGTCTATCCACAACTGAGGAGCTAAGAATTTTCCTTCAGTTTGCTCATAGCTTCCAGCTCTGCATCTTTTTTTTTTTTTTCTTATTCTGAGAGGAAACGAGCTAAAATTCAGCCAAGCAAAATTTGGTCCTTCCCTAAATACAAATTTTCCCATGACTACTTCCCTAAGCTGCAAGCTTATAAATCTAAACTGTTGTTATGAAAACTTTTCATAATGGTACCTACAAGCCTGTCATGAATCAAGATCCCACTGTAGCAGACAAAATGTGAAAATCCCAACAAAAATTTCCTGTTCCAAAGAGACTAAAAAATTCCCAGCTGAAGAAAATTATCTTATGCAATTAAATTTACAGTATGCTCTTCTTTACAATTAAAAATAGTGTGCAGAGCCCTGAATAGCTACGTTAGAAAAAAAACCACACATATTTAAAAAATGATGGCAAATAGCTTATAAATCCCGGCAAAACCAGGTATATTGTAGACAAAGGTGAACAATATTTTTGTACGCACTACAACGCTGGAAGCAGGTTGAACATCATACTTTTAAAACACAGCCCTTTTCTTAGTTAAATGGCCCAAATCTACCTCAGCACTCTTTGTCCCCGGGTAGGAAAAAAAAGGATTTCATAAAGGAAGAAGAAAATCTCATGCGTCAGAAGAAGCGAGGTTAGAAACATGCACGGAGGAGAGCGCAGAGGGTGTCCACACACAACGACACAGACCAAAAGCACCTCGGGAGGCTCACTCTACCTTCACTGCCATGATCTGCCCGCTAGGCATGTGCCGCATCTTCTCCACCACCCCGTACGCACCTCGTCCCAGCTCGGAGATGGGCTCCAGGTCATCAGCTTTCACCTCAAAGTTCTGCGAGGAGGGTAAAAAAAAAAAAAACAAAAACAAACCATCAGCGTGCAGGCGGCTGCTGTGCGTATGTGCGACGCAAGGAGCGAAACGCCCCTGAAATCTAAAATCATCTAGCCCTGATTGGCGCGTGAATTCACTCCTGTGCATCCCTCTCCCGATCTGTGTCCAGGAGGCCTGGAAGAGGATGAGGGTCCTCGGGGGCTGGCGGGAGGATCAAGTACTGTGCGGTAGTTAGGAGCGTTCTGAAGGGGCTGTGCATCCTGAGAGCAGGGCGGGCGCAGGAAGGACCGTTCCTTCGGTGGGATGCTCTCCCCCCAGCCACCTGCACCCAGGTGCCCCCGCTTTAGCTGCCAGCGCTTTCATTTACTCCATCCTCTGAGGGCTGGGATGGAAAACCCCCCAGCAGCTTCTCCCCTCAGAATCACCTTTAGGTTTTTTGTTGGGTTTTTTTGCTTGTTTGGTTTTTTTTTTCCCTTCCATCCTCCTCCTCCCACAAACAATCATGGAAATATCTGCAGTTTTTTTTACGGCCTGTAAACGCTGATTTCTCCAGACCTGTAGATGGGCCGAATAGCAGCCAAGTGTGCCCCATTTTTAAACCACGGAGGATTTATTTTGTCTAGCTTTCAAGATCTCTTTCTCCCGGCCTTACACAAAGGATGACTTTGTTTGGAGCCCTGCATTCTAACCTGCCCTTCTCCCTTCTGCTGCAATATTGTGCAGCAGCTCTATTTTTTGCTTATTATTATTTTTGGATATTTAAAATATGCCTTTGCTACTAAAACCAGCCATTCTGTTTGCTGAACGCACAACCACATCAGTCAATCATCCTACAGAAAGAAGCGGGTTATAATGAACTGATTCACGGTGCATAATCCCACACTGCTTTTTGCCGGCACAGCAGAAAAAAAAAAAAAAAAAAAAAAAAAAACAAAAAAAAAAAACTTGCAGCCTGAAATGTGCTGGCTGGGGATGGCACAGAGTGCAGGGCCCATACACTGCGTTACTGTGAGCTCGGGCTCCCGGGCAGTCACTCGCAGCTACGTTGCCTGCAAAAGGAGCCCTGACTAACATTTTTGTGTAACAGCGGAGATTTAAGCATCTCTGCCTGCCTGACACTGCTCCTACTGTTCCACAGGACCCTCTCCAAAAAAGCACTTTTGACTCTCTCAAGGCCACTCTTAAATTTAGCAGAAACGTTTAAAGGGAGAGGGGGAGAAGTGGCTTTCCCTCGGGATCAGGGAAAGAGGCAGCACATCCCGAAGGTACTTGGCTGGACAAAGAGGTAACAGATCTACGGGAAACGCAAGCCATGGCATGTCAGTCCCTCCGAGATAGCCCTGTATCCGTGTCTGTAAAAAAGCCTGAGTTTGGTGAGCGCGTTTCTCTTTTGCACCGTCCAACACGGGCTCTCTGCCTCCATGCATGGAGCCTTTTTGGAGCACTTGTGCTTTTCCTCATCCCGGGGACTGCAGGGGAGAAATGATTTTCTTGGAGCGGGCACTCGCTCTAGCAGCAGGCATTTTCTCTGCCTCAGTGCTGCACCATTTTGCTCCAGAGGCATCTCACACTCTTTCCACCTTCCAGCCCCTGCTCCATGCCAGGGAAAATACAAAATCCAAAATGAAAAAAAAAAAAAAAAAAAAAGCATTCAAAGATAGACATTATAAAACACTATTGGATGAGAGTTTCACCTCACAAATTAACTCGCTGACGCTGAGGCCTCTCTTTTGCATCTAAGAAATTTATTGCTCAGCTTCAAAGTGCTTTTATGAATGCTGCTGTGCCATTTTCTCCTATCAAAATAGCTGTCCTCAGTTTTGTTTTTCCTCGCTATTTTTTTAGAACATCAGGTGGATTGGTTTCCATGCTCTCAGAAGGATTTGCTTCCAGGACAGGAAGATCTACCCTGAGTTAGGCTCCAGATGAGATGGTCTTCAATATTAGCAAAGGGAAATACTTTGGATGAAGGCTTTAAATCAGCAAGGGAACCGCAAATGAGAGTAAAATCTGCTGTCAGCAATCCCCTTATTTTATAATCATTATTTCCAGGGGATTAGCTGCACTTTATTGAGGCAAGACAAGAATTTCCAAGGTGGAAAACATGAAGGGGACCCAGGTGTCATGGGATGCAGAGGGTGAGCATCTGGGAGCATGTTCATAAAGCGGTGACAGCCAGGTCACGCTGCAGGTGGCCACGGGGCCATGGACCCCACGCAGGCAGCCCTTGTTGGAGAAGCACAAACACCAGACGGTGGTCGGCTCTCTAAGGCTGACGGTGACTGTCGGGGCTCACACCAGCCACCAGGCTGGCTCTTCCCAGCTTTTACTCATCCAGCAACCGCCCCGCGTTTCGCACAAAATGGGTCGCTGTTTTTAAATAGCTAGTATTTCTTAATATGACCCTTTCTTTTGGCTGAAATTAAGCGATCTCACGAGCAGCCCGCCTGGACAAGCAGCCAGCTCAGGATGGTCACCTGACCCAGAGGTCTTCTCCTCACATTAACTCCTAGTCTTACCTCCTCGCCAATAGAGATGCAGGCTTTGGAGTCTAGATCTCTGGGTGGCCTGCGGGAGAGAAAAGGGAAACAATGTGAAATGTTCCTTATGAAGATCAATTTTTCCCTCAGTGAGTAAATACAACACCCCTTGTCCCCCAGGCCGTGCCCTCACACCTTCAGGGCAGCAGCCCTCGCAGCCCTGAGCAGCCTAACCCGTCTCCTAGCTTTGCAGGAGCAACAGATACAGCCAAAATCCACGAAGTCACCCCAAAAATGGGTCAGGAAGGAACCTACTGGAGTTGGCATTTCTCACATGCAACTTCCCCATGCAGGAACCCAGAGAGATTCACTGCAAAAGGCAAGCCAGGTGGCAAGCGCCAAACCTCCGCCAGCCTGTATGAAAAATGGATTAAACAGGCGTAAAGGTCTAAAACCACTGTAAATGATTACCCAAGTCACCCAGCACGGGTTGACAGGCTAATAAAAGTCAATCCTCAAGGAAGCAAAGAAAGCCAAGCAGGCTGGAGTTGCACAAATTGCCTTAAAAGCACAAGGTTTTCTTTTGCGAGGCTGAGTATGGAGGGAAGGGGATGCATTTTTATGCCTTGACCAAATGCATGTTACTCAAACCGGGTGGCAGAAGTGCCACATCAGTTAAAATTGGGTGCCCATCCTGATTTTTTACTTTTCCTGGGCACATCATGAAGCAGCACAAGACCCACCACGGCCAGTGATGGGTAGAGGGTGATGGGCTGAGACCCCCCTGCTTGTACCTGGGGCTACAAGAGAAATACAAGGGCTGTTATTATCCTCCCTGATGGTGCCAAAATTAATGTAGACATTTTGCCCCTGTTCCTCATGAAGGCTCCCCCTTATCCCAGAGCTGGAAGCACAAGCCCCGGGTGCTGGCTGTGACCGGCCGCTGGCCCCTGGCCGTGGCAGCGCAGGCGCTAGCAGAGGCTGGAAGGCAGCTGGGGTTCGTGGTTTTCTTTTTATTCTGCCTTAGTGTTTGCAGACTTACGTGGAGCTTGTCTGTGGTTGCTCAAATGCTTCTTTAGGAATTTTCAGCCCAGGGTTTCTCTTCTTGCCTGTGAAACGAGAAAGAGGTAGAATTAAAGAAAGGTGCTTTTTTTGTTGTTGGTTTGGTTTGGTTTAATTTGCAAAACACAGCTTGTCTATATTTGTTGACCTTATTTAACATAAATGCCCGGCCAGGCTGGTGGTGTAGACTCGGGGCACAGAGTTCAAAACATAAAGTGTCTTTGTTCAGTAACGCTTCACTTAGACCTGCAAGGTCTGGCTGCCAACTTGGTACAGAAAACAGGCAAGAGCTCTGGCAAAGGCAGGCCATGTGAAAATGCAAAGTGAAAGGTATTTCTCCTTCGTCAGCCCTACCCACGTAAGATCCCTTAAAATGTTTCTCAGATTTTAAACCATTCCAGAGACATAACTGTGAACCCTGGCAGGATTAGAAATCTTTTAAAAATTACATCTGAAAGTCCAGAACCAGATTCTGATTCTGTTCAAATGGATGTTTCACCTCTTGGTCATTAAAGTTGTGCAAACCCAGCAAAAATAAAGCAGAATTAAGTTTGCAGGCTTCAAAGCCATTTGTTTCTGTTCACACTGACCAGCCAAGCTTTTCTGAGCTGGATGAAGCTCAAGCTCTGAAGTAGTTCAAATGCAGGCTCTCCTGTAAAGGGGGTCCAAGCCGGCAGACACAAGAGCCAGGCAGACTAGAGAAATACAAGAACCTTTTTATGACTAAACATATACAGCCACATTTCAGCATGGGGTTTTGAATTCACGGATAAAATAACCTGAAAACATAAGTCATGTCACCAAAACCCCAAGGTAAACATCTGGCTCTTTGGCTGTGTAATAAAATCCCCGGTCCCCCCAAAACAGCACAAGCATCTAATTTAGGCGTTAAACATTTTTAACCTAACAATTTGCATCAATTGCTGTCTTTCTTTTAAGCATGAGTTTTACTCTCTAGTCCCGACACTCCCTTTCAAACTTTCCCTGTACATGATTGAGTTTGGTTTCCGTCTTGACACAAACTCATGGCAATAAACGTCCGTGCATCCCTGTGCTGGAGGGGTGCTAGATCAAAGCGCAGGCACCCAGAACTGAAAATGACCTTTTTGAAGCAATTAATCAATTCAGATTGTCTTTTTTTTTTTTTTTTTTTTTTAAAAATCTTTCTTTGTTTTCCTTTGTCTGCTCCAAAAGACAGGATCGCACTCGCTCCTTTTGGCAAAGAGTCATTCCAGGATGGGATAAGCTTCGACAACCCAACTGACACACTCACTATTGTTATTAGAAATCTACAGAGCTGCAAATTTACAAAAGGAGGAGGAAAAAAAAAAAAAAGCCGATTCTCTGCTCCAAGGAGCTTCCAGTCTAGCACAGAAAAGGCAAAATAAAAGAAGCAAGGTCACTCAGAAGCATGAAGACGCACTCTCAGTTTTCCCAAGAGGTAAAAGCTGGCCTATAAGGAAACAAAAATCATCGTATAAACAAGTGGAGGAATTTCTACAGTTAGCAGAGCTGTTCTTTGACCCTCTTCTTTCTAGTTTTCTTAGTTGTACTGTCCAGGTCTCTCGAAGGCACAACCGAGAAGCAAGCCCTGCTGCGCGAGATGCTCTGGATACCATTTCTTGCCCGTGCTGCGCCAAGTGCACATCAGATCCAACAGGATGCTAAATGGGCAACAGCGTTCTTGATGTTGTCACGTTTTAGCTGAAAAAGGAATCTCAAAAATACAGGTCTTGCAGCGCAGGCAAACAAAAACCCCTCTTTCTCTGGCAGCTGCTAAGTCTGCCATACCAGTGATCTCGCTGGCTCCAAAAACCTGCCTGCATCCTCTCGCCGTTCAAGCAAAGACGACAACCACAGGCACAAGAAAAGCAGTATCTTCAGCCTTATTCTGCACGTGCGAATTAAGACGGGGAATTAAGACAGGGAAATTCACCGACTTGCCCACGGAGTCAGGAACTGCCTCTTCAGCTCTAGAGCTGAACTCTTCCTATTAACACTCACCAGCCGTCTCCTGGCATCCTTCTTACACGTCGACCGTTCATCCAAACCGCTGCAACGACATTCACGCAACCACCAAAATCAAAAGAGAAACAAGCACAAATTTGCTCTGTTCTTCCCTTTTTATGTTTGTTTTATTTTTTTTTTTTCTTCGTGGATTTGCTTGCACAATCCCACGTGCTGTACCTGAACCTCAGGAACCTGCTCTCAGGCAGCTCTGGGAGGGTGAAAATGAACCTGCTGGAAATTAACCTAATTTGAACGTGAACCAGAACAGGTTGCACAGCATTTAATCTTATCACGGTTCACAAGTGGTGTCAGCAGAAGAACTAGATAGCAAAATGCCAAACCCAAATAAATATTAAAAGCCTTCCGCCTTCTGGTGAAATAAAATCTGCACTTTGGGGAGTTTATTTTCCTTGTCTCTTCTTCACAGAATACAATATTTTGAAACTTTGCCATTTTTTTGAAGCACAATCTGTTCGCGTATTCGAGTTGCCAAGACACAGACACAGTTTAACATTCTTTGGGGTTTTCTTTTCAAGAAAAAAAGAAAGCAACAACAGTAGCAAGAATAAAACACAGATTTCAGATGGCACTAGGAGAAGGGATGGCAAACGGGAATGGCCACAGCCGGGACTTGCACCTGCAGCACCCACTGTTCCTGCGGGATGAGCTCAGGGTGCCGAGGGGAAAGCGGTTCCCTCCGCACCACAGCTCACAGCACGGGCGTTTAATCAAAGTCTCGGGCTGCGATCAGGCAATTTCATGCCTCTCAACTGGATCAGGCAAACTTTCTGAGCTCCTTTTGTTACAACATGCAAAATGCTTGTCTCTCCAAGCCTTCTGGGGCCAGTGTCTGCAAGTGTCTCGCAGGAAGCATTTGCAATCTTGAACATGGTACCGCCTTAAAAGCAGAAGCATGGAGAAGCAGCCAGCACTGCTCTGCAGAGCCGTGGCTGCCACCCCAGGGACCCCTGGAACCCGGGTCCCCCCCTTGCCCCATGCCCCAGCTCCCCAGCTCCCAGCTGCATGTGGGGGAGAGCTCAGCTGAGGCTCTTCCGCTGCTCTAAAAACAAAGGGTTCAGGTCACACATGCTGGAAGGAGTTTCTCCCCAAAAGCAAACACTGATGCTTAGAGCGCTTTTTTTAAAAAAAAATATAAATAAAAAAATTGGAAGTCCCAAGATCAGTTCTCTTCAATAATAACTACCAAGCAAGTATCTTGCTGTCAAAATAAAATCCCCCAGTTTACCATAGCAGACACCGGCTTTGAAAGACAACGCTGTAATAAATTGCATTTTGCAGAGAAAGTAATCTGTACAGGAGCTCAAAATGTGGAGGCAGCTTAATAACATACCAAATTGAACGTTACCTGTTCCATCCACCAGAAAAAACAGTATTTGCCACAGTGTTTTTATGATTCATTATTATTTTTAGCTTTGCTTCCTGAAGAAAATCACCTGTGTGTATTTGACAGTCTGTGACCCTTGTGGCAAGCGTAAATCCGCTGGCCAATTTCAGCCCTACCTGACAGAGAAATTGAGCTTTCGGAGATTGCAAATCTGACAAGAGGAGGTGACAAAATAAAGTCCCCAACTCAAGAGGCAGGCTAAAGCACAAAAACAACCCACGGCAGGCACCAGGCATCCATGTTCAAGCCGTGCAGAAGCCCTGGGTGTCTCAGACATCAAAATAACAGCACGAGGCTCAATCCTCAGGCACAAACCAGCTGGGGCCTGAGCATCAGTGCAACTCCCCGGGATCTGCAATAAGGAAAAACCCCAGAGAGAGGCATCAGACACAGGGTGAAGTCTAAACACGCCTCCTGCAGAAAGTTCACAGGCCTGGTTGATCAACGGATGGGATCGTACATCTACTGCCCGGCATCCAAAAAGTCAGGACTTTTCCATATAAACAACCACCGGTGGCTTTCTCGTCCCTGATCCTTCAAGCTAAAACTCATCTGACAGCTCTCCCGGCAATTTTCCGCACAGAGCCTGTCACAAGCACTTGACTCAAAAGCCACGTTTGAAGAATAATTGAGGGGGGGGAAAAATCCAGACTGGTTTGGAGCGATGCTGAGAGACATCTCCAGACCCGAGCTTTGATTCAGCAAAACATCCGGGGTGTCTGTAACATTAAGCGCAAGCTTAAACCCGCTTTCTTTTAGCAAAGCAGTCACGCACAGTAAATATTGAACTGGCTGATGCTAGAGAAGGTGCCACCTTTAAAACAACCTCAGTGCTCTCCTGGCAAGCGCACCCATCAGGACAGCAGTAACGAAAGCATCAGCTGCAACATCCCCACAACCTCCCGTGCCCAGCTCCCCCCTCCACGGGCCTTCTGCTCAGCACTGGCTAGACCAGCCCAAGAGAAGTCAATGCTGAGAATGAAATGAGGTCTGAAAGCGAAATTGTAATAGGAAAAAGAAAACCTGACTTAATGAAAACACATTAAATACTTCCCCGTGAAGGTCTTAAACCCAATTCCTGAGGGAGGGGAGAAAAAATACAACTTCCAATGGGCTTGTTAACCTCTTCCCACCAGCACTGACAGAGCGTACAGAGAGATTAATGTGGCTAGCCCCTTTCAATTAGGGCAGCGTTAAATATCAATATTGAAAAAGGAAACTTCAAAGCTCCACAGCAAAAGGGTCGGAAGCATAACAGAGAATGAGAAAGAAAGGGAAGACAGAGGAATTCACTACCCACATACGGCGGTAACAGAAAATAAACTTTGACTTCTGAAGGAAAATCCCATTCCCCAGTCTCCAGGTTTTTCACTGCAGTCGAAAACTTTTTATGATATAATCCAAAGTAAATGGTTCCTGGCCACAAAAAGCTCCTGTTTCCTTCAAAGGATATTAACCAGTTCTGTCTTCACCACAATTTATTATTAAAGCTGTGTTCAATAACCATGTAGCAACACTTTCTTTCAAATAACACTCTTTAGCATATAATTTGCTGATAAAATTTCACAGGCGGGAAATGCCTCTTTCTCCCACTTTTTGAAGAGATAAAAGAGGCTCATTTCCTATTCCAGT